ATATGCCATCCGCATCTGCATTATCAAATGTAATGCTTTCTTCCTCTAATACATGTCGCACACACTTCCCGTGGGTAATTGTGACTTTGGGAACTTTATGTGCCGCTGTGTACGCCACGCCATTGATTTCTTCGCCCCCGCTTATGACATTAACGGTCCTTTTTGGAGAAGGCGGTTTAGGGGGTTCCTGCCTATTCTTCATGTATGCTTATTTACCTTTTTCACTGAATAATTTGGTGAGATACCCTTGCTTCAACAGATGATCAACTTTACCCTGTAGCAACCTACAATCTGCCGTTTTATGACCATGATCATTATGAAATTCGCACCAGTGATCAGGATTACGCCTGTTTGGATTCGATCTCATTTCTTTTGGCCACCGTACTTTATCACCCATGCTTCTTAAAACAGCTACGAGCTCGGAAGTGCTTACATTAAAATTATAACCGCCAAATTGTGCCTTCAAGTTTCTATCATCATCTCGTGACTCTCGTGTGTTACGATCATTTCCATACCTCGATGATGAGCCCGATTCTCTATTTCTAGTATCGTACGGTCGTACCTTGAATGGTNCTTAATTGACCCTTAAGCTGTCAGTTTTGGCTGGCGACAAGGGCTCTTACGCTTGTTTGGTCGTAGAGACCTTTTGATATGTGGCCTGTAGGCTTGCTTAGTTAACTATTTTGGATCCGGTCTCCGAATCGAGTTAAGATTTGAGCTCACTTTAATCCTCAAGTTGTCAATTTGGCTGGCGACAAGGGCTCTTACGCTTTTTGGTCGTACAGACCTTTTGATATATGGCCCGTAGGCTTTCTTAGCTGGCGACAATGGCTCTTACGCTGTTTTGCCCATGGTATTTTTGTAGGCTTTGTTTTTCGCTCGTTAAGGTCTTTTTGAAAGAATTTTGCCTGACCCGTCGTCGGTTCTAACGAACCTCGATTTCAAGTCGTAATCGGCGATATTTTGAGCACCTCGGAAGGTTCATAGCTCATTGTTTTCCTGTTGAGGGAAGCCTGTTTTAACCGGTTCTTTCCGAAATATATTCGAAGTAGTGGCCTGCGATTTTTGTTTAGCGACGGTCAGGCGTCCCCGAGTCGCGTTATTTTGGCTGTATCAGCCGTTTTGACCGTAGTCATGTGCGTTTGGCCGTAGCCATTTTTGATCCCGAGTGATAGTTTAGGCATCTACACCGAGGGTATGCCCTTTCGGGATTCTTACAAATGCGTCGTATAGCCTAAACTTCGGGATTTTCATGCCTGTTGAGGTCTTACAGTGTGTCATGCCTAGTGAGGTCTTACAGTTTGTCATGCCTATTTGTCTTACAGTTTTTTCGGCGATGTGGCATGGCGATTGTTGTCAGTCTCCGAGTCATCAAGTTATTTAAGCATGAAGACTGCTCCTTGTGAACTCGAAGTTGCGTTATAAAGGCTTTACGAACCCGGAGTTTCGGTCAAGTGTCCTATTGCATGTATTAAGTCTCGAGTATTTCGGGATGCATTTAGTGGGGGGGCCCCATGTCGGGGATACACCTGAGATTTCTCTGTCTGGAGAATAAGGCATTGAAAAGATATTTTCTGATTGCCTTATGTAAGTACAACATGATATAGTGCTTCGATCGGGGCCTCGTTTGTTTTATTCCCGGGGCGGAGCTGACCGTGAAAGAAGCCTTGTGGGTCCCTTGGATCCTTCTGGAGAAAAGCGTGGATGTCGCCTCATTAAAAACCTTGTTGGCTAAAAAACCTGCTTGGGGAAAAAGATTTAGAAGGAAAAGAGTACAACGTCCGCTCGAAGATGTTCATGGGGTTCCATATTCGGCCGTCCTAGCAGTACTACCGCTTAAGCATCGATACATTCCAGTTGCTTGGAAGTTGCTCGCCCTCCGTGGTACCGAGCTTGTAGGAGCCTTTGCCGATTATCCCGAGGACACGGTAGGGTCCTTCCCAATTTTGGCCCAGCTTCCCTTATTAGGGTTTCTGGTGTTGAGGGTGACCTTCCTTAGGACCAGGTCTCCGACTCCGAAGTATCGGAGAATCGTTCTCCTGTTGTAGTATCTTTCGATTTTCTATTTCTGGGCAGCCATCCGAACCAGCGAGGCTTCCCGTTTTTCGTCGAGCAGCTCGAGGGCCGTTGCCATGGCTTCATTATTTGATCCCTCGCTAGTGTGTTAGAATCTGGCGCTTGGTTCTCCGGCCTCCACCGGTATCAATGCCTCGGCGCCGTATACTAGAGAGAAAGGTGTCTCGCCGGTGCTCGATTTCGGAGTTGTTCGATACGCCCACGGCACTTCGGGCAGCGTTTCCCTCCATTTCCCTTTGGCGCTTTCCAGCTTCTTTTTCAAATTTTGAATGATGGTTTTATTTGTATATTCGGCTTGGCCGTTTGCACACGGGTGATATGGCATCGACAAGATCCTCTTGATTCCGTTGTCCTCAAGGAACTACGTTACCTTGCTTCTGATGAATTTCCTCCCGTTGTCGCACGTTGTTTCGGACGGGATACCGAATCGGCATATGATGTGTTCCCATATAAAATTGATGACTTCCTTCTCTCTTATTTTCTCGAAGGCCTGCGCTTCCACCCATTTTGAGAAATAGTCAGTCATAACAAAGATGAATCTAGCCTTACCTGGTGCCGTTGGCAAAGGGCCGACAATGTCCATCCCCCATTTCATGAATAGCCATGGCGACAAAATGGAATGCAGATGTTCTCCGGGCCGATGGATCATAGGGGCGAACCTTTGGCACTTGTCGCATTTTCGGACGAATTCCCTGGCGTCTTTGTCCATGCTATCCCAATAGTAGCCCGCCCGGATCACTTTTCGAACCAAGGAATCGGCCCCGGAATGATTTCCGCAGGTGCCCTTATGGATCTCTCGAAGCACGTATTCCGTGTCGCCCGATCCCAAGCATATCGCCAGGGGGCCATTAAAAGTTCTCCTGTAAAGGGTCCCGTTTTCGTCGAGTGAGAACCGGGCCGCTTTGGTTCGCAGGGCCCTTGACTCTTTTGGATCCATGGGCAGCTTTCTGTCTTTCAAATAAATGATGTATTTGTTTCGCCAGTCCCATTTCAGGCTGGCGGGGTTAATTTCCGCGTGGACATCCTCGAGCGCAGATTTGAACAGTTGGACGACGGTTCCGGGAAGCAGGTCTTCTTCTTCGGCGGAGGATCCCAAGTTTTCGAGGGCATCGGCCTTGCAATTTTTCTCTCGGGGTATGTCTACTAAAGTCCATTCTTTGAAACGACGCAACACGATTTGGATTTTGTCCAAATACCTTTGCATCCTTTCCTCTCGGGCTTCGTAGCTTCCGTTTACTTGGCTTACCACGAGGAGTGAGTCGCATTTTGCCTCTACGATCTCGGCTCCCAAACCTTCGGCCAAATCTAGACCTGCAATCATAGCCTCATATTCGGCTTCGTTGTTAATCAGTTTCTTGGTTTTTATCGATTGTCTGATTATGCCGCCGACCGGCAGCCTCAGGACTATACCGAGTCCAGACCCTCTTACGTTCGTGGCGCCATCCGTGAACAGGGTCCATACTCTGGAGGAAGTGCCTGATTTTAATAAAAGCTCTTTCTCTTTTTCGGGTACGAGGGCTGGCGAGAAGTCAGCCACGAAATCCGCCAGGATTTGGGACTTAATGGCTGTCCAAGGTTGATACTCGATGTCATACCCTCCGAGTTAGATGGCCCATTTGGCCAATCGACCTGATAGCTCGGGTTTATGCAGTATACTCCGGAGGGGATAAGTTGTCAGGACGCAGATACGGTGGCACTGAAAATAAGGCTTCAGTTTGCGCGAGGCGCTTATTAGCGCGAGCGCCAGCTTTTCTAGATGGGGGTACCGGGATTCGGCGTCCCCCAAGGTGCGGCTTACATAATAAACAGGAAATTGCGTACCATGCTTTCTCGGACCAATACTCCTGTTACCGCTATTTCGGATACTGCCAGGTACAAATATAGTGTTTCACCCTCCTCGGGCATGCGCAGCAATGCGGGCTGGACAGGTATCGTTTCAGTTCCTCCAGGGCGTGCTGGCATTCTGAAGTCCACTCGAAGTTGTTCTTCTTTTTAAGCAAGGCGAAGAAATGGTGGCTTTTATCTGACGATCTCGATATGAATCTGCCTAGGGCCGCGATCCGCCCCATTAATCGCTGGACTGCTTTTACGTTATTTACTGCCATAATCTCTTCGATGACCTTTATTTTATTGGGATTAATTTCGATCCCCCTGTTTGAGACCATGAAGCCTAGGAATCTACCTGAGCCTACTCCAAAGGCGCATTTCTCAGGATTGAGCTTCATGTTGTAGCTTCTGAGGATGTCAAAGGTTTCCTGCAAATGGGTTAAATGGTCCTCTGCGTGCAGGTACTTTACCAGCATATCATCAATATATACCTCCATTGATTTTCCTACCTGGTGCTCGAACATTTTGTTAACTAGCCGTTGGTACGCTGCTCCCGCATTTTTTAGCCTGAAGGGCATTACGTTATAACAATATGTTCCGTATTTTGTGATAAATGAGGTCTTTTCCCTATCTTCGGGGTTCATCTGGATCTGATTATACCCCTAGTAGGCATCGAGAAAAGTGAGGGTCTCGTGGCCGGCCGTAGCATCGATCAAGCGATCGATATTGGGCAGAGGGAAGGAATCTTTTGGGCACGCCTTGTTCAAGTCTTTATAGTCTACGCACATTCTTAGCTTATTCCCCTTTTTTGGTACCACTACTACGTTAGCCAGCCATTCGGGATACTTTACCTCCCTGATGGATCCAATTTTAAGGAGTTTCGCCACTTCCTCTTTGACGAAGGCATGTTTCACCTCGGACTGCGGTCTACTTTTTTGCTTCACAGGCTTGAACTTGGGGTCAACGCTTAGTCTATGGGACGTTATCTCCGGTGGGATACCTGTCATATCTAAATGGGACCAAGCAAAGCAGTCGATATTATTACTGAGGAATTGAATAAATTCTGCCCTGAGTTCGGGGGTCAGCCCCGTACCCAATTATACCTTGCGATCCGGGAGGTGTTTGATCAAAACGGTTTGCTCCAGCTCCTCGACTGTTGACTTGGTCGCGTCGGATTCTTTGGGAGTGACGAAGGTCCGGGGTGCGAAGAAGTCTTCCTCGTCGTCTTCAAGGGTCTGCGCGCTTCCCTCCCCGTCCAAGGCCGGGTGTGCGGGAATTGTTATCTCGTGGTGGACTGCGAACATTTCCCTTGCTGCTTGTTGTTCCCCATGTATGGTTGTGATACCGTCCCTGGTAGGAAACCTTATTACCTGGTGCAAGGTCGAGGGTACGGCCCTTATGTTGTGTATCCAAGGTCTGCCAAGTAGGGCGTTGTATTTCATGTCACCATTGATGACTTGAAACTCTGTGTTCTGGGTCGTGCCGGACGTGTCGATCGGGATAATGATTTCTCCCTTTGTTTCCTCTCCGACCATGTTGAAATCGTGGAGGATCCGAGATGTAGGGATGACTCGATTGAGCAATCCTAGCTGTCCTACTACATTTGACCTGATTATGTTGACCGAGCTGCCTGGGTCCACGAGCACACGTTTTATTCTGGTGTTGTTTGAAAGAAACGAGATGACTAGAGCGCCGTTGTGCGGTTCCATCATAGCTTCGAGGTCCTCATCACTGAATACGAGGATTTCTTCACGCGGGCGCTCCCGGGCCGACCCTTCTTTTGTAGTGGGTGTCCTCGCTCGCTTGGAGGCGGGCCCTCTAGGGGCGTCGGCTCCCCCAATAATCATATGGACGTTGGCTTCTCGATTGGTGTGGGAAGTTTCACTGACTTGCCGTGCGTTCTGTGATCCGCGTCCGCTAGTATTGGTCCGAGTGCGCTATCGGGATCCTATAGTGGTGCTCCGGCGGCCGGGATAGCTACATCATTTTCCCCGTAATCTTCGAGATGGTCGTTCTCAGCTCTATTCACTGAGCCAGACATTTTTACCTGGAATCAAAGGATCTTGGACAAGAAAAAGTGTGAAAGATGGTATGCATTTGTGTAATGAAACTAACAAGAAAATAATCATATCGTCGGGGTCTTGAAATATCTTCCCGAGGTGGCGTCATGTCCTTAGGGTCTCGAGGTATCTCCCCGAGGTGGCTCAATGGCGGGAAATCGGGCCCTCTGATTTCACCGCGTACAACCTAATCAATTAGTAATAGTTCTTAAGACTACTACTGATAAACTTTCTCTTAATCAGTGTAATTACTAATATATAGGCTAATCAATCATTAATTACTTAAGCATATCACTAATATGCATCTGCTTTATGTAAATATCAATTTATAAGTTAATCAATCGCTAATATTTCTTACTGATATTACTAATACACTCCTACTTAGTGTAATTCTCAATGCATAATCTAATGAATCAGTAATAGATTTTAAGACTATACTAATACATACTTAATTAGTATAATTATCAATGTATAGGCTAATGAATCACTAGCGTTACTTCAGAATGCCACTAATATTAATTAACGATACCACTAATAAACCTCCACTTACTTTAATTATCAAACTAAGGATAAACAATCACACACATTTCTCACAAATATCATTAATACACTTCCCTTTAGTGTATAATCAATGTATCGACTAATCAATCACTAACGTTACTTATATAAGGATACCACTAGTTCACTAATTGTTAATGTTACTTAAGGACACCATGCATAATTGCACTTCTACTTACAGTAATTATCAATTTATAAGATAAACCATCACTAATATTTCTTACGGAAACAACTAATGCACTTCTTCTTAGTGTGTAATTATTAATGTATAGGTTAATCTATGTAGTTAAGGATATTACAAATTTACTTTTACTTTGTGGGATTATAAATTACTAAGCTAATTGCCACTAATATATTTCTAAATAGTGTATTACCTCCGCTTAGTATAAATTTCAATAAATAGGCTAATCAACCACTAAAATAATTAAGTAAATACTTATCGAGGGACTTACCGACAACCTCCTTCCGTATTGTGTAATAACAAATACAAAATAATTATCTATAAGATTATATATTTAAATTACCGACGGAAGTCCATTGGTACTGTAAGAACAAAATTCAAATTATTATGTAAATGCAGTAGGATTGACTACGTCAATAACTTTATTTTCTTTTTCATTTTTTTTTAAAAGTACCGAAAGACACCGTCGGTACCATAAAAAAATAATTCAAAAAATAATACAAAATGTTCCGAGGGAGTCCGTTAGTAAATTACCGACGGAGTCTGTAGGTATAGCCATTTAAATTTTGACCAGTCAAAATATCATTATTTACCGACAGAAGTCCGTCGGTTCTTTTTTAAAAAAATTAGAAATTAAAAGCTCAAAAGTACCGAGAGATCACTCCGTCGGAAAGTCCTTCGGGATACTGACGGAAAAAAGTCTGTCGGTAATGTTGCGTAGGTAAACAGATGGTTTTTTAGTAGTGATATATTCCAAACGCTATCTAAATTGCATAGACTTGGTAGTTAGCCAGTTGAAATGGGCTTGGAATGTTCTATTCTTTCAATCTTTCTCACATTCTTGTACCTACTATTTCACTAGTATTTCTGAAGGCGCTGATACACCTCATAATCATAATAATGAGCTTAGAGTAATAAGGAATTTCGAGCATGATTCAAGGTCTAATTTGGAATCAGTAGAATGTGCAATGTGTTTGTGCATGATAGAGGAAGGAGAAGAAGTGAAAGAGTTGAGATGTCATCATGTACAAAAGGAGATTCAATATTTACCCACCCATATGATGCTCATCATAGCTTTAAAGCATCCTCGGATGAGGCATGTGACGACCCGGCCGGTCGTCTTAAGAATTAACGCCCCGATCCCCTATTAACTGTTTTCCCCAAGTCTATTTAAGCTAATTTGAATTGCCGGGATGTTTGATTTTGAGTTTCGGAGAGTTTTGGGACACTTGGTCCCTAAATGAGAGCTTAAGTGTTGGAAAGTTGCCCGTAGCCGGAACAGTGTGAAGACGGCATCGGAATGGAAATCTTATGGTTCCGTTAGCTCCGTTAGGTGATTTCGGGGTTGGGAGCATGTTCGGAATGTATTTTGGAAATCCGTAGCTGATTTAGGCTTGAAATGCCGAAGTTTGAATTTTTGAAGTCTCCGGTCCGATAGTGAGACTTTGATCCGAGGGTCGGAATGGAATTCCGGAAGTTGCAGTAGCTCCGTCATGTCATTTGGGATGTGTGTGTAAGATTTCAGGTCATTTGGCCGCGATCGCGTAGAGTAAAATAAAGGCTCCACGAATATTTCAAATGACCTGAAATATTTCAAAATCGAGGGTTAGCCGTTTTTATCAAAATACAAGCTTGGGAGCTCGGATTTGGGAGAAATTTTGAAGGTTTTTCGAGGGCAACTACTGGGTAACGATTCTCTACTCTCTTATGCTTAAAACCCACTAATCTAATCACGAATTCATCTTTAATTTCGGATTTTTGAATGAAAAATGGGGAAAACTTTATAGACCAAACTATTGAGTTTTGAGTGGGTGTTTGACCTCCGATTTGGGAGATTTTTATATGGCTAGACTCGTGAGAGTACGAGGTTCTGAAAAAATAAAATTTATCCGATTCCGAGACGTTGGCCTAAGGGGCATTTTGGTCATTTTACCTAAATTCACGTCTTAGCTTTAAATTAAATAGTAGAATCAGTTGCTTGAGATGTTATTTACGATATAATTGAATTGAATAGATTTGGGCCATTTAGAGTCGGATACTCGTGGCAAATGTGTGGTTTCGAGTTGATTTTGGAGCCGGTTTGAGGTAAGTGGCTTCTCTAACCTTGTGTGGGGGACCTTTCCCCTTAGGATATGATATTTGGTAGTTGAATGCCTTGTACGTGAGGTGACGAGCGCGTACTTAAGCTAATTGTTGAAAATTCCGATTTTACTTTAAATATTTAGACTGAGTTTCTTGCTTATCTGCTTTATTTTAATTGCAATTATAGATTGTGTTAGCTAGGAAAGCATGCTTAGTTGTTCTAAATTGTCTATTTGTTCAAGTTGCCTTGTTTGCACTACGTGAAGCATGTTAGGCTAGAATTACCTATTGCCTTGTATTTTTGAGCTTCATTTCTGAATATTCTTTGTGTTGTGACTCCGTATTTACATTGGGACTACGAATGTGGGATTCCGGTAGCTCCCCCCCTTGTTTGTTTACTTTGGGACTACGGGTTAGATTCCCGGTAGATCCCCCTGCACATTTACTTTGGGACTGCGGGTTAGATTCTCGATAGATCCCCCTGCACCTTGATAGCTGGACTACGGGACGGTATCCCGGGAGATCCTTCGGATATACTCATATGATGAACTACGGGACGGTATCCCGAGAGCTCCTTGGACAGTTGATGAAAAGGACTACAGGACGGTATCCTGGGAGATCCTCATTGTTGGTATTGGTATTGAGCTATTTTACTCTGTGTTGTCTTATTCTCTGAGTGTTAATTGTTGCCTTGTATAACTTGTCTTACTTCATAGCTATACTCATTACTTCCGTTTATTTCATGCTGTTGCAAGATTTATTATTATGCTTATTCTCAGTAGGGCCCTGACCTTCCTCGCCACTACCCAACCGAGGTTAGGCTTGGCACTTACTGAGTACCGCTGTGGTGTACTCTTGCCCCTTCTGCGCATGTTTTTCATGTGCAGATCCAGGTACTTCATCCCAGGCGTATCACTCTCGAGGCAGAGAGATCTAGCAGAGACTTCGAGGTACATCTGCCGCGTCCGCAGACCAGGAGTCTCTATCTTATTCTAGCTTTGGCAGTTAGCTTTTCCTTTCGTACATTTGCTTTAGACATTCTGGAGTTAGAGCCGTGTATTACTTTCTGTTAGCTTGTGTTCTCGTAAGTTTCCGGGTTTTGGGATGATATTGTAGACTTCCGCATTATTGGGTTGTATATGCCGAGCGACATTTATATACAGTTACCCTTCTAGTTTGTTTAATTTAATTATTTGTTTCGGCAATTTATGTTATTTCCGCATTGTTAGGCTTACCTAGTCGTAGGGACTAGGTGCCATCACGACATGTTCACGGAGGGCGAATTGGGGTCGTGACAAGGCAAAACTGGCATTGTTCGCAATTGTTTGGTCTTGTGATCCTTGCGAACAATACCAGTTTTGCCTCATTACTTCCAGCAAACATGGCCAAAAATCCAAATTACCCTTAACTGAAACTAAAAATTCACACTTGATTTAATTGAAGATCAAATATGCTATCATGAATAATACAAGGATCATTAGTGTAATATACAGTCAGATTTCTCTATAACAACATCCTTATATAACAGCACTTCTCTATAAAAGCCAAATTTTTGCGGAATAAAATCTCATGTTCTATTATAATATATGTTTTCTTTAACAGCAATTCGCTATAACATCAAAAAATATTCGGAACAAACGAGGCTGTTATACAGAGGTTTGACTGTATAGCAATAACTCAAGGACTAGAAATGCTATTTGCCACTGAGAAAAAAAAAAACATTAAGATCATAGACCACGGGGAGAGGTAAATTATGAGAAAATCTATTTTCACTAAATAAAGGAAGATGAGGAATATTCATACTCCACATAATCAATTTTGAAATCAAACTCAGATACATTAGACATAATTTTAGTTCTTTCTATAAGCTCCAAGATTTCAACTCTCCATCTCTTCTTCTTCCAATCATAAAAGCAAATCCAATCAGGCTCAAACCTGAAGTCAGCCGATAAGATCATGATCTCGC